TATATCATATTCATATATCAATAACTTATTCAAAATTATCAATGTTTTCATTCCCAGATAAAAAAGAAACAAAAACACCAAAGAAAATAAAGCATCAAAGCAGAAAAAGTCCATCAAAAAGGAAAACTCCTGAAAAACAACAACTACAAGATTCAGACTCTGATTTTGAAAGTAGTCATCCATCAAAGAAGGCAAAAAAAAGGAGTCACCAATCAAAAAAGACAAAAAAAAAACCATGGTAAAGGAATTTTACTCAATGAAAAACAGATGTTCACCAGAGTCATTACTATCTATAATCCTTGGGATGAGCAAAGAACAAAAGAATCTGTAAGATCTATGGGTTTTGGAGCTTTGTTAAAAATGAAAATCACAGATATACCACTGAAGCTGGGATTTTATGTTCTTCAAAAATTTGATTCTGAGAGAATGGTGATAGATATTGAAGGAAAGGAACTGAAAGTAACAGCAGAGTCTGTTCATGACATGTTGGGCATACCAATTGGTGGAACCAAACTTACACAACTGGATCAATGGCCTAAGGATGATACAAGTTATGATGAATGGAAGCAACATTTAAAAAAGATTCAATCATCCGACTGAGTGCAATAAAAATGTTATTGTTTCTACCACACAAGCTGATTTCAATTTCAAATTGAACTTCTTAGTTCTTTTTGTCAACACGTTTTGCGAGTCAACATCAATGGGAAGATGCAACCTGTTTCCCTTGAGTTATATTTCAAGAAAAACAGATATCAAAACATAGACTGGTGCAGCTATGTTTTGGACTGTCTTGTCAGAACAAAGAACTCATACATACCATACTCATATACCAGCTTCTTTGTTGGACCTTCAGCTTTCTTGGTGGTAAGTTATTATAATGTTTATACTCAATTTTTAATAATATTGATTATTCATAAACTAATAGCACATATTCATATATGAATAAGAAAAATATACTTGTTCACACGTAATGCTTTACATTACTTATTCATATATGAATAAGTAAAAAATAATATTACTTGTTCATATATGAATATCAATTAGTTATCATTTATGTGCAGTTGTTCTATGCTGATAACATCCACTCAGAAGCTTTAACTGTAACACGTAAACGTCCAACAATTTGTTATTGGAGTTCAGAGAAGATTAGATATCGAGAGACATTTGAACAAGAAAAAGGTAGATTTGGACTTGGAGAATTAAATGAAGAATTTGTTAATGAACAAGATGAAGGAGATACAGATCTCGAAGACAGTGATTCTGATAAAGATGAAGATCATTCTGTTGAGGTAATTAGTTTGAACATGTTAATAATATATGATTACATTAAATTCTAATCATACTTCTTTTTTATTACATAGGCATATGAATCAAAAATATCTAAAATGCTTAATAGTTTCGAGAGGATGAAGGAAAAGCTGAATTCAAAGCTCAATGATGCGATAACAAAGTTCCCTGAAAAGGAAAGTTTTAGGATTTTCAAAGAAAAGATGACAAATATAATTGGTGAAGAAAAACAGAAGGCACAACACTTTTTGAATTTCCAATTAATCAAACTGGATTTGAAGGAATCAATTTGACACCAATAATCGGTCAAAAAACAAATGATCAAAAAGAAAATGAAGATAAAGAGGGAAATGGTGAAGAAGACAATGATAATGATGGAAGTCAACCAGAAGAAGATTATTTGCTTGATTCAAATGAAGCAGAGAATGAAGGAATAAAGAATGATGGAGATAATAATCAAAAAGAAGGTGAAACTGAAGTAAAAGAGAAAGATGGAAAGAACAATCAAAATGACAATGATGAAGAGAAAAAGGTGATGATAATGAAGAAACAAATAATCATGAAGAGACTATTCAACAAACTGAAAATGAAAATTTGTTGGATAAAGTTGTTGACAACATTGTGGATAATGTCCTTGGAATTGGAATTTCAAGTTTAAATAGTCAAGAAGATGAAATCTGGAATCACCCTGAAATGAAAACTATTTTGGATAATATTGATATAGGTAAATTTTGTCTTACTTTTATTTAAAAAAAATACAAAAATATTAATAAACAATAACAATTTTGTTTATTAAATTTTGACCAGTGTCACCAATGAGTAGAAGTAAAACTAATACTCTTGCAGAAAAGGAAAAATCAAGGTGTACATGAAGAAGGAAAAAAGTTGAAAAAAAAGGGAGATGATACAGGTAAATGAATGATTTAAAATATATTACAATATTTATATTGATTTTTTTAATAACATTGTTTATTCATAAGTGAATAATACACTATATAAATGAGTAAAAAAGTAAAAAATATTCATCATGATGTATATGTTTCAGGCAAGGAAAACTCTGAACATACAAATAAACAAGGAGCAGAAGCTAAGAACACGAAAGATGGAGGTGAAGATAAACATACAGAAATTGAGAAAGGAAATGCAGAAGATAAAGGTAAATAGTTGAATCACTAATAAATGAATATAATAAGTTTTATTATTCACAAATAAATAACACAATATACAAAAAAATAAAAATTTAATATTTCTTATTCATAAATAATGATATGCATTACTTATTCATAAATGAATACATTACTTATTCACAAATGAATTACTTAATCAAAGTTCTTTATCTTTCAGGACTAAAGGAGGAGGTAACAATTTGGATAAACATTTCAAAATATAAACTCAAATATTATAATTAACTTACAACTATTTATATGATAAATCTCCTGGCATGCAGATACTCATCCAAGCTTTAGTCTAGGTCTCAGTCAAGATTCAGATCAAACTTCAAGTAAAAAATCTAATGAATCTTCACCAAAAAAACCACTTACAAAGAAACAAATCAAAGACGACCATCAGAAGGTTGTTATCAGATTAGCAAAGAAAAATGTTCTTAATCCAAATCCAATCTCTGTAGCAATTCCTACTGAAGTAGGACCATCAAAGCATGATCTGGATCAACCAAGAGAGAAGAAGCTTGCTGATGCTTTCAAATCACCTTTCAAATGCAGAATAACAGACACAAAACCCAAACTGACACATCAGGAGAGTATTGTCTGTGAATGGTTGTTCAACTTACAAGGCAATACATCGTAAGTAACTTTATTTTATATACATTCATATATGATTATTATATAGATAATAATCTATGACATTTTGATTATATATTTGCAGAGATGTGGTTGTCCAGACAAAATATGGTCAGATAACAGAAAGAGCAGTTATGGAAAGTCTATATGCAAACACAGAGATTTTTGGAGAAGTTTTAGACACTTGGGCTGATTTACTTAACCACCAAGAACTGGAAAGGGATTTTGGAAATTCACCATACAGACTCTTCTTGAAAGTTGGAGTTTCTGTAAGTTTATGTTCTAACCTTAATTCCTTCCTTATTGATAAATGATACACCAATATGATGTATTCATTTATGAATATTATATTTTTTTACAACTGAAATTCACATATGATTATACAAATATGATGTATTCTTTAAGATATTATATATTTCAACTGAATTCAATATGATATAACCTTAATTCTTATTGATAAATGAATACACCATGATGTATTCATTATGATATTATATTTTTTACAACTGAAATTCACATGATTATACAAATATGATGTATTCTTTAAGATAATTATATATATTCAACTGAAATTCACATATGATTATATTGGTTACAGACTGCTTATCTAACTTCAACATTGTCTGATGAAAGAAAGTATGAAAAATTCAAGGAGAACTTTCATGACAGTACCAATGGGTACAAAAAAATCTTGAACATAAAAGATATTGACATGGTATGTTAATTAAAGTTGTTTTTATATATATTTTATCAACAAAATACTTACCATTATATACATAAAAACAGGTATTCTTTCCAGTTGTTAGAAGTGCTCACATTTTTGTGATTGTCTTCAACTTAAAGAAACCATCAATTGAAATTCTAGACAACAGTGCAGTTGAGGGGGATTATGAAGGGAAATACGGAGTATATTGAAACCTTTGGTATGTACCCAATTCACAACAACATAAAAGAACCAATTTATTACATATCTAACTTTTATTTTATTTAATGATCAGAAAAATTTGTTTGTGAGATACTTTAAAGAAATAAACCATCTAAGAGAAAATGCAATCTCAAAAAAAAGTATCAAACCCCAACGACTTGAAATGTCATGGAGAACAATTAAAATCAAAGTTGATTGTGGGGTCTTTGCAATGTGGAGACCTATATGGGACAACCACTCTCAAAGTGGAAACCAGGTCTTCATAAAGAAAGTGCAATTCAACAAACTACTTTAGAGAAGCTCAGGCAAAGGTATGCACACATAATGCTAATTTCTGAAATTAACATGTTGAAGGCTAAGGTGTTGGATCTTGCTGAAAAATATCAAAAAGTTGAATTCAAAGTGCGTACTGATCATCCATACTAGACTATGCAAACAATTCAAAAAAGGTTAAAAGAATATTGATGATTGATTGTGAAGATGAAGGAATGTTGAAGTGTGATGCTATAGAACAGTTTGTGTTGAAGATGAATGGATTTGAAGTTCATGTAAGATGATTCTGCGAAACAAGTTTTAAATGGTTTGTTAAATGTTATTGAACATCGTTTTAATATTTTGTGAAATGCTTATGAACAGCTTTTATTATATTGTGTTGAATAATTATGTAATAGAACCAACTTTCCTTATTTCTGTCAGTTTTTTATATTTAAATATTTTCAAAGTTTATTTATGTTTATTCATAAATGAATACGAATATGATATATTCATTTATGATTAAATTAGGAGTAATATGTCAGTATAACAAAGTTCATATATGAATATAACAAATTTCATATATGAATATAACTAACTTATTAGTAGAAATAAGTTTGCTTATTTCTGTCATTGTTTTATATTCAAATATTTTCAAAGTTTATTTTTATTTATTCATAAATGAATACGAATATGATATATTCATTTATGAATAACAAAGTAATATGTTAGTATAACAAAGTTCAGATATTCACATAAAAAAGTTCAGATATGAATATAACTTATTTATTAGTATAACAAATTTCACATATTTGTATTCATTTATGAATAATTTACCATATCAATATAACTTATTTTATAGTAATTTAAAAAACAAATATCAACATATCAATTTACCATATGAATATAAATGTGTATTATTCATACATGAATATTATTGTTTATTGTTTTTATCAGCATATATTCATAAATGAATAAAACATAAAAAAAAAACTAAAAAAATCCCTAACTGACTTTTGCTGATTTAGCAGCTCCAACTCTTTCTGGACAAGTACGTAAATTGTGTGGAACTCGTTTTCCACATCCTGAACACATTCTATGTTCTTTTTTAGAATTTTCATATGCTACTTCACCTGCACTTGGAATTCTTTTCTTGATTCCAGAACCTTTATTGCTTTGAACTTCAGGAACATGAATATTAATCTCTTCTGGAATAGGAATAGTAACACCCAAAAGCTTGCATACGACTTCACCATCTGTCTTGCTTTTCAATCCAGGAGAAATATAATCACTCTCAAATTCCTTCAACAACATTTGTTGTTTCTCAGCAAACAAAGCCAATCTCCTTTTGTCATCTCTTACAATATCCAAACATGATTCAAAACTATAATATGAATCATTGACTAGCTTTACATTCTCACAATCACCTGAATCGGATTGAAGAGAACTAAAACGATAATTTCTTGATATCACATCCTTTCTCCATCTTTTCAAAATGTACCTTTCAGGAATTTCTTTAACACCACATCTCATCATTATTGTAAAAGCATGTCTGCATAAAACACCCATACGCTTAAAATGTTCACAACTGCAATTTATTTCTTTCTCTTCAGCTTTTATTTCAACCTGATACAAAAACAAAATTTACACATTTACATTAATATAAGAATACTCATATCAACACTCATATATTCATATATTCATATATGAATATTCTCATATTCATATATGAATATTCTCAAATTCTTATATGAATATTATTACATTTTTCATAAAAAAAACTAGTAAAATTACCTTAAATTCATTTTTAAATTCGCTTTTACTGTTGTTGTGCTGCACAATGTAAACTTCCCAACCATCTTCAATACCAACATATGAGTATGTACAGAAAAAACATGCTTTATATATTTCTTTTTGCACCTCAAAAAATAATGTACTTGTATAAACCTTTGATGCTTGCAGTTCTATTTCTCGAGGTGTTTGCATTTTATATGATGCTTTCTTTGATGCCTTATCAAGCTCTCGTTGAGTATTCCTTTGCTTTTGAATGGCAGTGTCGTAATTCATCATGAAATTCAAAAGTAAGTTCCCACTTTCTGAGTATGTATTAAAGAATGAATTCATACTCTCTGACCTCGACGTAGTCTTCATCAAACCACACATTGGAATATCACTAAAATATCCAGGTATCCATGAATCACGTATTGTAAACATGTCTTTAAACCATCTTGTGTCTTCAAGATTGAATTCCTTCATAAGCAAACCCCACTTCACCTCAAAAATATCAGGTTTCATATTAATGTCCCAAACAAGCTTCGAAAACCTTTTTCTAAAGTCTGTGTTCGTAAATAAATCATCTGATATTTGTATTAAAACAAAAATATTTATAAATGATTAAATAATAATAAGTAAAATAACAATCAATATTCATAAATGAATATAATAATAAATAATATATTTGAAATATATTAAAATAATACCTTTTTTTTCAACTTTTTCATTATATGCCACATACATAATCGGTGCTTTGAATTAGGAAACACATTCTCAACAACTTGTTTTATTGCAACATCTTGATCGGTTAAAACAAGTGTTGGGTCTTTCCCATGAGTTTTAAGGAATGCTTTAAGCAACCAAGAGTAAGACTCAATGCTTTCATTGCTTAGCAACCCCGATCCAACA